TAAAAGTGATTAATCAGGGGCTTAGAAATCTAACAAAAGGCATCATTAAACACAACTATGTGTCTGCCATGTAGAGCTGGATGAACAATGAACTGCTGCTGAAAGAATGAATGAATCAGTGCAGGGGATTGTGTGGCAGGATATGAGAGATCGATGCACAAACAGAAGCTGATAATCTGAAAAAAAAACCCCTTTATTTGATTTTTATATTTGACAGAGGTGAAAGTCATATAACAGTAAGCCAAGTAAAGGAGATTAGAACATTTTAAACTAGGATTAGAGGAAGCAAACCCTGGAGGTGCAGAAGCCAATGCCTTTGATTTTGGGGGTTGTTCAGTGTTTGAATGCTTCTCCACACCTTTTCAAGGGGTCCCAGTTTTTCCCCACCCAGTTCACGAGCCAAGTCTTGCGCTGTGTTGAAGGAGGAACCAGAGACAGACAGAGCTCTGGTGCAACTGGGGACTGTGCTGAGGGTGCAGCACTGCCACAGGAACTGGAAGAGAGCAGTGATGGCCTAATGGCACAGTTGGGGCACAGAGCTGGAATTTACAGCAAGATAATAGAAGTTATACATCTGTATTTTACAGGAAGGTTAGTGGAAGTTGTAAAGGAAACACCCTTGTGACAGGAGAGCAAAATCTCTCTTATCAATGCCAGTTGTGCCAAAGGGAAGCAGCTACACATGTTTTTTTCTGTGTGATGAAGTGACTGACACCTGGGGGTGAGTCCCCTGCAAGGCTGGAGTCCCCCCTGTGCAGGAAGAGTTTGACACACTTACCTGCTAGAGGATTGTTCCCAATTTATCCTGGGGGGGACTTTGTGGGTTGATTTCACAATGCAGAGTGGACTCGTTTCACCTTGTGACCCCAACCAGAACATCAAGACCAAGCTTAGAAAACCCTTTCAGAACTCACAGGAAGCTCAGGGTCAGTTCAGGCCTGCCGAGTGCATCCACTGTATGGCAAAGCCACGTCAAACGCGTGTGCACATCAGAATTCCCGTGGCCTCCTCCCCCCAGGAGGCGGCTTCCTGCTGTATCCCACACAACACATCACCTGCTCGCTTCTTACCAGCTCAAGAGGTGTTTTGGTAGTCCTGGGGTTTAGTAATTTTGCAATTTGCTTGTGGGTGTCAGAGTTTCCGCGTCTGCCTGTGCAGCCTCGCAGGGGTTTGGGCAGCGCTGCTGCCTCTGTGATCTCGCCAGCCACTGCTGGTTGTGTGTTGTAAACACCAGAGCTGTGTGGTTGATGAACTTCATAAGGGGAAATTGGTGTTAGAGTGTTTTGTGTTGGCTGCTGGCTCCTTAAATACCGGCTGGGTGGTTTCAGATGTGTCTGTTGTTTGTGTGTAAATATTCCTCAGGTGTGTTCCCTCCTATTACTGATGTCGTACCTGTATTTTCTACCTGAAATTTAGTAAAATTGGGGGTTTATTTCTCTCCTAGCAGGCTAGTCATGGACTAGTCCCATGTGCACATCAGCTCTGCCTTAGCCAGCTCTCTTAAATACACATTTATTACCTTTACACTACTTACTGCAAGGGGAAACCTTAAGGATGGCAAAGCAGCCTGTGGCTTTCCTGCAGAACAGTGAATAATGAACTGAGGCAAAGGGGAAAAAAAAAAAAAAAAAGGAATTTTGTCTCATAATTATTTTCCTCCACCTCTTTTTCTGCCCAGTGATGAAGAGGACTGGGCGTTGTGTGATGTGTTTGTTGCACATGGAACTCCAAGGAGGTGATTAGTACCAATGGGTGCCTCTTCCCTGATTGCTCCCCCCAGGAATGACTTCACACCTCAGAATTAATGAGGGATTATGGAGCAATTGCCCACTACTGGGAGTCTTTGCTGCTCTCTGTGCTGGTCTGAGCCAGAGGCAGGGGTCAGTGTGGAATGGCTCCACCTGCATTTCGTCCCTAGTTTCCTGACAGGTCCAGAGAGACGCTGTGCCTGCAGCTGGAGAGCTGCTTGAGGGCTCCTTTATCAGCAGCCTGAGAGCAGCAGCTGTGAGAGCCCCACGGCTGGGTGGGCACAGCCCAAGGGGACCATCAGCCTGTCCCACAGCAGGGCCCTCCCCTGGCCCTGTGCCTGGTGGTGCCTCTCATTGTCACAGTTCCCCTCCATGCGCTTCCTTCTGGTGGGAAAGGCAGCACTGCACCTGCCCTGCACCCCAAACCCACTGTCTGAGGGCTGTGGGAGATGTGGCTGGTGGGGGAGGAAGATCTGTCGTAGGAAGAGGTGGGTGGGGGAATGTGGAAGTTTTCTAGCGAGAAGATGTTTTGGGGTTTATTGCAGCAGGAAGAGGGAGAACCGGGGGTGTCTTACCAAAGGCTGTGGGTGGTTGCAGCCCAGCGTTGATAAGCAGGGGTCTTTGATAACCTGTGTGCCTGGGGAGGTTGGTTCTGTGGGTTTACATCCCTCCAAAACACAAACTTCTGCCTCACCCTGGCTCGCCCTGGCTCTGAGAGATACACAAGTTGTACAGGAAACCAATTGGTCAAGTGTGGGTTGATTAACTTGAACCTCAGGCTACCAGACCTGCAGGTCAGAACCCTACCACAGGATGGGATTTCTAAAAATAATCTGTCTGTCTACCAGGATGAAAGTTCCAGAGTTATAGTCCTTCTACATCCCCCTAAATCAGTGAGCTAGGAAAGACAAGGTCTTGAGCTTGAACTTGACCTTGTGTTCTTAGCTTGGACAGGCTTGTATCCAGTGACAGGTAGAAATCCTCAGCAGAAGGAAGCAGTTCAGCCACTGCTGTGTCTTCTGCCTCTGCTGGTCAGTCGAGCTGTGGTGGTTTGCTGATTTAGGCTGAGGCAGCAGACACACCAGAAACCTGCTGATTTTATTGTTAATGAGCAGAAAACAAGGCCAGCTTGTTTTGCTTTATTCAAACTTTAAACTTTGCCTCCTCCCCCTCTGTGTCCCCTCCC